AAAAACATGTGTTTTAAAGAAGCATTATCCTTATTACATCTCCAACAAAATGCTGTCTTAGTCCTTTTCTATACAAACATAGTGGAGTCCAATAAATTCTAAATATTATTTTTTATTGTATAAATTGTAATTTAAGGTCCATTGACACTCTTGCTATAGAAGTTAAGAGACTCTTCCATTGTCTAGGCAATATAGGAACCTCTAACTCTTTATTCCACTCATTTCTTAGCATCTGCATATCAGATTGATTTATTGATAACAAATATCTATAAAACTAATAGTCTTTTTTTTTTTTTTAGTTTTAAAGGATTTAACAAGTTGTTCTAATATCTCAGGAGTCTCAGAAGCTGAAAATGCTGGTGGTCCAAACAATATTGCTAACAAATGTTGTAACTGTAAATATTGCCATTAGGTTACATCTGATAGATTATATTTAACTCTTTACACAGCATGTGTTAAAAATTCATCTTCATCATCTGTCAATTGGTCCAAAGTCAGTATCCCTGCTTCCATCCAATTTTTCCATATCACCATCTTTTCCCCAATTTCTAAAGTTGGGTTTCCCCATAAAGTCAATTTAGCATGGGAAAAGGGGTCAAATCTTTTTTTATTAGACATTACATTCCATAGCTTTCTGACTGACATAATTGTTTCCAGAGATACTAGAGTTCTAGTGTATTTACATCCTTACACTGTCCATCCAACCAAAGGTGCTACATATGTATATTCCAAAGTTGCCCAAATTGGAAAATTAACATCAATTGTTGGCTCCCAGTATTTAACATTTGACAATGGGTAAGCTTGATAGTATAGCTCCAGATTCAGAAAACTGAATCCTCCCTCATTCATTGGTAACTGCATTTTCTGTAGGGATATTCTCAGAATTGAAGAAACCCATAAAAATGTTCTAAACAAAGAATTTATTTTCTGAAAATATTTTCCAGATATATGAACTGGGATTCCTCTTAGAATATAAATTAATCTGGGAATAAAATGCATTTTGAGACCATCCACCTTTCCCCAAAGGGTGAGGTTTAATGACTCCCATCTATCAATATCTGAAGAAACCTCTTTATATTTACTTTTTTTTTTTAATATTTGCATGGAACCCTTGGCTTGTGCTGTTAGACAACATAGGGAGATCTACAGAAAAGTACATAATTCAGCTGAACACAAGTTGGTTTTATTTGCAGATGATATTCTTCTGTTTATTTCTAAACCTCACACTACTATTCCAGTGTTGCTGCAAATGATAGATGCCTTTAATAAAATAGCAGGGCATTCTATTAATTGGTCCAAATTGGAATTGATGCCAACAGGTGGAAATTTGGTTACCCATCCATTTAAGAAATATCAGTTCCATATTTGTACTGAATCCATTAAATATTTAGGTATGTGCATCCCAGAAGGTATAACTCAGTTAGAAATATGTAATATAAATAAAAAAACACATCCATCATTTGCTTCCAAGTACAATTCAGATGCCTTTGATGACGGAGAGTGAGACCCCTTGCTTCATTATGTTTGCTATCTTTTATCTTTATCTTTTATGCTTTATTGGTTTTATTGTAATTCTTTGTTGTGAGCTGCCCAGAGTTCTTGAAAGTCGGACAGCATACATACAAGTTTAATAAATTATTACTATTATTATTATTATTATTATTTATTGAATAGAAAACTTGTCTTTTTTGTGCTCCTATGTTATTTATTCTGTGATATATTAAAACCCACAAACTGCATGTTGAAAAGATGGATTAGAATAGTTTTATTAATTGTGTAAATATATGGTATGTTTAAGAAATATTGCACATATTCTGAATATGTCTCATTATTACTTTTTTGGCATAACTCCAGACTATAGTTTTTGGAATTTTCCTAATTAGAATTAAAAATAAAGCTCTGACAATTATTGTACACTATATTACATCCTTACAAGGAAAATAATCAAAAATGACTTATTTGAGGGAAAAGTAGCAAACAAATTTCTTAAGCCATTCCTCCTTCTAAAACTCTTCTCATTCTTGGAACAAGGGTAATAGGAGAGTTAATTATATATCACAATGAAGAAAGAAAGGAAAGGAAAGATACAAAGTTACATATGCTAAGTTATACCTATAGATGCAAATTTAGAAGTGAAATTGCAACCAAATCATCTTTAACACATTCTTCAATTAATTTGCACCCCAACGTGTAAATGAGACCAAACGTCTACTTCAATTAACTTTTCCTCAGTTAATTCTCTGGTTTGCTGCCTGAAAGGCAGAACAGGAGAGAATTCTTAAAAAAGCAAAAACTTAATTCCTAAAGCACTTACCATGGATGGTTTTACTATGTGACAAACTGATTAGACAGTTGTAGGTTTTTCGAGGGTAGAGCGATTTCATGTTTTTTAATCCAAAAGCTAGCTATTTGTTCAATACTGGCACTCTCTGCAAAGCTTCTACATAGCCTTTCAACTTTCAGATTACACTAGCTCATCCTCTCATCCTTCTCCCCCCAGTTAGCTCCAATGGCATCACTTCTGCTAATAAACACAGAGCACACTGCCCCACAAGCTTGAGTGTGTTTGTGGTTCTCTCTGCACTGAAGACAACAGAAGAAAGGAGAGAACCCTAAAGTAACAAATTGCCCAGACTGTCTAACCATTAGCAAACAGAATCTCTTGGAAAGGTTGAGTTTAAACAAACATTTAGTGCCCAGTATTGATTAATATTGGTCTCCAACAGGGATACCAACAAAAATCTTAATTAAACCTAGGCCTTAAACATAAATGACTGGCTAGTTTTTAAAAGTGCTTCGTATAGATAACTGTACTATACCTTTTAAAATAAACTGAAGAAATGGTGTAATAGCATAACGATTAAATGAGTGCTTTCTGTACATTTTGCTTCTCTTTCATCATTATGATTGCACCCTAGATTAAAACAGCCACAAAAGATAAATAAGCGTGCCGGTAATTCATGCTTAATTAATTAATAGCATTATTTGCCCCTTCTTCATTTTGCTGCTTTGGTATTCTTTCCTAGGACCAACATGGTTCTAACATTTTGACTTACAAACAATACTTCTCTTTGTCTTTTAGAACAGATACATCTCCGTGAGCTTTCTATTAATCGACAGGCATGTGAGAAAGGGAAGAAATCCTGTCAACAACTAATTATTGATTGCAGTAAACAGCAATTCAGAGCCAATGCGCTCATCAAAGAACAAAAGTAGGAGCAGTGACAGAAATTTGCAGACAATTCAGGAACGCGATACTTACAGTAGCTGATAGCTGGGGTCCATTAAGTTGTGCCTGTAAAATGGCTTCATTGATTGAGTACCGAATACCCAGCAGTGCCAGTTCCAGTTCATGAGTTCCAGTCATTTCATTTGTGAGGTACTCCAGGGTGTAGATATATTCCCTCCAATGAACATCCAGCTCAGATACGCTGGCAAAACAGCCTCTCATCACATTTAGACAATACCCTTCACAGGGCCTGATGAGGGTCAGGCCTTGGCAGTGAGGACAATACTGCATTCTCACAAGGCCTCGGATACACTCTTTGGTCAAAGCAGCATGCTCAGTGGCATTCAGCACTTCAACACCCATCCCCAGGGCCTGGTTGAATGTCCTGCTTGCCCTCAGAGACTTTGCTAGCTCCGTAACAGCTTCCTTGGAATAGCGCCCAAATGGATTGATGTCTTGTCGTGTTTGTCGCAGGCATTCCATATATTCTTCTGACAAATCCGTCATGCCTGGGTTTATCAAGCGGGTATAAACCAACGGGAAGAGGCTGTCGAAGAACCGGAAAAAAGCTCTTTCCACTCTGGTCTGAGCACCCAAGAGGTAGAGAGAGAGGTCTGTAAAAAGTTCCTTTACAGGCTCAGCTGCTTCCTTTGACATGGGTCTGTAGACAGTATCAAAGAGAGAAGTGGTGTGGTTCTCAGCAAGACGAAGCAGGGACTCAAAGGCTGCTGCAGAAACACATTAAAAGTGAAGGAAAAGTCAGTGTTTCCTTAATACAGCTCAACAACTTGGACCTTAATATTAGACCAGTAGTAATTATTACTCAGTTACTTTACAAGCTAGCTAGGTATTTTCTTTCTGCTTCACAAATGGGTGCAGTTGAAAGGGGGAAGGGAGATCTCACTGCTTTTATTGGTTTTCAGGGCTGCTTTGATTACTGCTTGACACTGCATAGAGTCTCTGAATGCTGGAGAACCTGGAAAAGCCTGCCCCAATTGGGTACCTACAAGATTGCAACTCTCAGAAACAGCCAGTCATGGGTTCATTGAAGAGCTGAAGTTGCACATCTAGAGGGCCTTCAGTTGGGGAAGCTGGACTCCTCCAAAATTAAATCCATGGTGGAGCAGAAAACAAGGGCCATAGCCCAGTAGTAGAACACTGAACACTTTTGTTTTCTGTGCAAAATTCCCAGGTTCAGTAACTAGCATCTCCAATTAGGACTGGAAAGATCTACTGAAATCTTGAAGAAATGTGGTCCAATGCAAAATGAATGTACAAGGATTTCTTGTGTAAGTCAGCTTCTTTTGTGAGACATTTTGAGAGCAACTGGGAGGGTAGGGGGAGGATTAAATCAGACATAAAACTGTCTCGCATCTGACTGACCTTGACTGATATAAAAGATACATCTGGATTGAAAAGTACCATCTGAAATAATCCCCTGTTAAAGGCTATGAAATCACTTACACATTTTTAATATAAATTGTATTGAAAGAGCAAATAAAATAATAAAATATAAAATTTATAATGAAGCAACTAAAGTTTCTAAAAAGGTTAGTAAAAGAATTCATGAACAATTTTTTTTCTCTTTAAATGTACTCCAGCTTTTGATATGGAATATGGTATTTCTTGACTTCTTTTCTTATTCATAAACACCTACAGCTTAGTAAAGTGCAGATCTTTTTGTTTCTCACCACATTGCTTCATTTCCCTTGTCCTATTCAACACTGCCTGCTGCAGTTGTAATCTTAAACCAGCGCTATAATTAGAAAACCTGAGATGCCCACACATGTTGGAGGACAGAACTATGAATACTCGGCCTGCTCTACAACCTTAAGCTATATTGCGGTTTAAGTTCAATGAAAAACCTGTGCAGTTTACTATTAAAATAAGATTCAAGGTTAGATTTCAACCTTTAAAGAATTAAATAGTTTAGAATCTGGCTAAGGGAGTGGTCACCATCTTAATATGAAGTTGTGTGGTTGCTAAGGTCAACAGCAGAGGCCGTCTTAAAGATGCACCTAGGAGGTCCAATCATTAGATACATAGGATAAGGCATTTTTCCGAAGATGTGTGTGCTACATGCTCAGTTTGAAAGCTGACAAATGTATGTGATCAAGACATCACAGGACAGGTACTGAGCAAATGATTGGAAGCAGACTGGATATGTTACAATATTTCAAAATAGTTCTACCTATTAGCTCTTTCAGAACCATGATAATATTATAATAACTTACAGATGGAATGTTTTTTTGTAATTCTAGGAACCTTGAAAAAAAAAAAGAAAAATCCCATTTTAAAAGTTTCACTTCCACACAGAAACCTAGCTTGCCAAGTTTCATATTGAGGCACTTTTACAACTGAACTGTAAAATTGTGAAAATGGGATTTATAATGAAAAGACTGCCATTGCAATAACTGTAGCATTGTAAACAAATCTGCTATACTCTAAATGAAACAGTGATTCCTAAAAAATCTCTATTTAATATTTGTTGGTGTAAGTGGAATTCCCCCCCCCCCCCAAGTCCTGCTGTGCTGCCTCATCATGGCTGTGGGGGTGTTCCTGGGAGGGATGAGCAAAGAACATCTGGAGTGTATGCCAAGAGTTTATACTCCCAGCAGGGTCACCCAAGGTGTGAAGGTCATCACAACTGCCCAGTTAAAGCAAGCAGGCACCTATATTGGGCAGCAGCAATACAGGAAGATGTTGGAGGCAGATCATCATTTTAGTGACAATGGCAAAGGCATCAGTTCATACTGCATGGGAGAAGCAAATATAAATGAAACTTGGACTTTTTAAAGAAGCAGTATAGGAAGAGTATTGATGCTTTTGAACTTCGGTGTTGGAGAAGACTCCTGAGAAAACAAACCAATGGATCATTGAACAAATCATCCCAGAGTTCTCACTCAAGGCACAAATGATCAAGCTCAAATTATCCTATTTTGGACACATTATGCAAAGATCCTGCTCTCTGGAAAAGGCTCTAATGCTGGGAAAGGTAGAAGGAAAGAGAAGAAGACGACCAGCAGCAAGGTGGATGGACTCAGTTACAGAGGTGATAAGTACACCGTTGGGAAATGTGAAAGAACAGGTTAGGTATAGATCATATTGGAGAAAATCTATGTGGTCTCTAGGAGTTGAAAACGACTTGATGGCACATAATCAATTAATCAAGTAGAATTTAAAGAATTATATTTCTTAGAAAAGAAAACTGATCACTTAAAGCAATTTAGTAAATAAATTGAGTATAAATGGTATCTAAGCATCCTATCATTCACAGAATACAACATTTTCTCATTATTAAATATATTTTGTGGAAATTCAGATATGTTACTTTTTTTTAGAAAGCATCTAAGCATCCTATCATTCACACAATATACCATCTTCTCATTCATTATTAAATATGTTTTGTGGAAGCTCAGATATATTAATTTTTTGAGAAAATGTTCTCCCAGGATCTTTGTACATATTTGAATGAATGTTATCTCTTCACAAATCTCTTTTCTTTCCAATGTCAATAGTTTATGAAACAAAGGTGAAAATTGAATATCAATATGATTGTTAAACCGTTAAAACAGGGCCATATAAAAAATAGTGACTTTATTTTCAAATGATAATTTGAGTAAATTGAACTGAAATCATAACAAAATTTAATTAAAGCCAACTTTTTTATCCAGGCTGAATATATATTTTAGTTTCTAAATAAACCAAGTCTTCTATATAGCAAAACTAAGAAAAGTGAGCACAGCCACTTTTTTACAATCTGTAATCCTAAACACAGTTTGCTTTTCAGTAGTTATAAGGTACCATGGGATGATCTCAAACAAATTGCTGGAATGATGTACCTAGCTCTCTCATTAGGAATAAAGGAGCTGTGCACAGGTCAGTAACTTCTCCCATAAAAGAGAACTTCTGCTTTGATTGCATAAAGGATGCAACTTCTCATCCTGTCTGAAACTTTATTGAAGATAGTTTTCATATATGTCTCAAAATTCTGGATAAGTAATCTGTCAAGCCAAAGTCCAACCTTGTTAGAAGTAGAGGATGTTGGTTTTGGTAGATATATGTAGAAAATCCTAACTGTAAAGTTATGTGTACATCTATATGAATGAGAGTTCCCAAAGGTTTGCTCCCTGAACATTCATTTAGGTACATTGTACCCAATTTACACAAGACATATACAACTCTAAGTCTTTAACTGTTTAACAATGGGTTATTAAATAACACAGCTAGTTAGACTATACAGAAGCCATACTATCAAACTAAATGCATATAGTAATTCAGATTAACATATGGCAGATAAACTAATCCTAACAGCAAACCTCCATAAATAATTCCACTTTCCAGAAAACATGTGGCATCTCTATCCTGTGCCATCCCTACCTCAAGATTCAAATTTACATTATACTCCATTCCTAAAGGCCTTCTGGAAGAGCAAGGTCTGCATTGCCTCTCAAACACAAGTAGGGATGGAGATATCCTTATTTCCAAGAAGAGATGTTCCAGTGGAGTGGGAAGGTATGTCCACTGGGTCCCTGTTGTCAACACTCTTTTAGAGGGGGAACCCATAGCTGCCCTCCCTCATCATTTTACTGGTCTTCCATACACAGTAGGCAACCCAGATCTGAAGCCATATAGAAGCTAAAAAGTAACAACCAGCACCTTGAATCTCACCTAGAAGCCTTGTAACAACCAATGCAGTGCCTGCAGTAGTGGCATCATGTGGGGAAACAAGCTTAGCCCATCACTACCTTGGCTGCTGCTGAAGAAGAAAATTAACCAAAGAAACAGCTTGACATAACAAAATGGCTTCAGATATGCTTAATGCTTAGCAAAATGCTTAAGAATACAAGTTACAAATAGCTTACTGTGGGCCTGAAAATGCGAACTCAAGAACTAGTTACTCGAAAGAGGAAGTTAACCCCTGAATATTACTCAAGGCTTGCTGATTAAACAGAATAAATGCTAAAAGTACAGGTTTGCTACAAGGGTGGGTTCTGTTGCTGAGGGATGCTACTCTCTTTTTCATGTAAATAAGATCACTGTGTTTTGCCTCAGGGGGCAAAACCTTGTATTCTGTCTCCTGCACAGTTCAATTAACTTGGCTCAACCACACTGTGTGGTCTCAACTTGTCAATTGGGTTGGGGTATTCCTCCTCTTCACTCCATTTTGGATCAGCTGCAGTTTCCAGACAGTCTTTATACAGAGTGAGCTGCAGTAGTCCAGACATAAAATGATAAGGCCACCAATGATGATAACAAAGCCTCCCATTCCAGGAACAGCCACAACTGGTGTTCAAGATGAAGTTGAGCCAAGGCCTTCCGCTTGCTCTTCCAGTAGGATGTCTCTAGACATCCATCTTTGGTTCTGGATAGGATGGTATTCCCTGTGCAGAGCACGTTCACAATCTAGGAGGTTGTCTGGATCCACAGCCCCATCCAGATCTTTGCAGCCTCCCCATCCTGGACTTAACAGACCCTAACACTGAGAACTTTCAGTGTATCTCCTGTTTGGCCCAGAGTGCATATACAGTTGGGTATCATCAGCATAGTTATAATATCTCAAACCATGCTGGCTTCATGCAAATATTGACCATAAGGATTATTGAGATTATAATATATTTTCTCAGTACTCTAGCAATCAAAATGAGCTGCTATTTTGTTGTTGTTATATTATTATTATTATTATTATTATTATTATTATTATTATTATTATTATTATTGTCT